TTCCTGCTGCTCATGCTGCCATCAAGTTTGGGATCCTTCAAATCAGAGGCCATTTATGCCATCCTGATCCTTGTCTGAGTTCCTGCTCCCTCCTTCCCCTACAACCACTGCTCATCTTCACCCTTGTAATGGGCCTCTACAACCCTTTCCTGCTCACCCCTGATCCTTTCCCCATGGGTTTTTCCTTTAGCTGTCATGAAACCAAACCCATGGGGACCTGCCTGTGCTCCAGCCCTTTTCTGGCATCCCATGGAGATGCCACATGGCTGGAAGCTGTGTAGAGCTGCTCCCTGTGTGTGCTCTGATGTCTGCTCCATCCCCTGTGCAGTGGGATGTGGTGGTTGCATGCAGGGTTACCTCCTGCTCTCCCAGCTCAGAGAGTGAGCTGCAAGTGAAGAGACACTGGCAGGACATATGACAAACCCATGAGGGTGTCACCTGAGTGTGCAGCAGCTGCAGCCAGCGAGTGTTTGGCTGCCTGAAGCACAGAGCTCTGCTGGGATTCCTTGGCTGCCCTCTGCTGATAGGAAGCTCTTTGGCTTTTGTTGGATTGGCCCAGCCACCCACGTGTGACAGTGACTGTGGTCTGTGTTCCTTCTTGCAGATGTAAAGCCCTCTAACGTGTTGATCAATACGCAGGGGCAGGTGAAAATGTGTGATTTCGGCATTAGTGGTTACCTCGTTGACTCGGTTGCTAAAACCATGGATGCAGGATGCAAACCCTACATGGCTGTAAGTTGATCCCTGGAGAAACTGCTGTGGGACAGCCAGAGGAACATGAGCCCTGGGGGGAAGATCAGCCTCGTGCCAGTGTCCTGGGCAGGATGTTTCCCTGTAGTTGAGGGATACAATCACCTTGTAAAGGGGCAGAGGGCAGAGACAGGTCTCATGGGTCAGATCAGATCTCCTGGGCACAGCTTCCTGCTGCCTTCTCACCTCCCTGTGACCCTGGGGAATGCTGTGGAATTGCTCCCTCTTGTATTTTTGCAAATGGCCCCATGGGGATAATAGTACTTCCCATCTGGGAAGAAAAACAGTCCCCAGGGATTGGGTCCTTCAGGCTCCTCCTGGGAATTGCTGTTCAGGATTCACCCTCTGTGAAGACTTGCACAGGGTGAAAATAGTCTTGGAGAATTGAGGCTTGTCACCAATCTGTGCCAACTGTGCCAGGTCAGCTCCACCACCCCAATCCCTGGTGCAGGTACCACCTGCTTCTGGTGTTTCACTGCCTGCTCTTACTGGTGAGGGTGGGGGACAATCTGGTGAGGGTGGGGGACCATCTGCCCCCATGACAACCAGGACAACAAGCTGGTGGTGTGGGCTAAGGGCTCCTGGGCTGCCACCCTGAAAAATCCACCCCCAGGTTGGTGAACCCTGAGTGTGGGAGTGGCACTGGGACCATCCCTGTTCCTCATCCTCCTCTGTCTCTGTTCACAGCCTGAGAGAATTAACCCGGAGCTGAACCAGAAGGGATACAGCGTCAAATCCGATATCTGGAGCCTGGGCATCACCATGGTGGGTGACCTGGGGACTGGCAGCAATGCCAGGAGGGCTCAGTGTTGCTCTGGGATGCATTTCCCTCCCCACAGCCCTGCTGACAGTGGTGGCACTGGTTCCTTGGGAAGGTGGTGGGGTGGGAGTGGGAGCAGCGCTCTGGGGGGAGCAGGGAATGTGCTGCAGGGTTGAAGGGAAGGAGGATGGAGCTGCTGTGTCAGCTCTGGAGGCTGCAGCTGCCGGGAGATGGCAGCATGGGCTAAGGCACAGCATCCAGTGTCTGGAGTCTGGAGCAGGTTGGATTCCAAGCACAAAAACATCCTCGGCAATTAGCAAAGTTCCCCTCTGGAGAGCAGGAACGGGTGGTGGCTCCCACGCAGTGTATAGGGGGAATCCATCTGCTCGAAAAGGCGTTTTGCAGTGCAGTTACTCTCTGCAACGTGGGGTTGTTTTTGACTTCTAAACTTTCCCAGGCAATGTCTGACATGAGTGTCACAGGGGATTGAATGTGGAGTCTGAGTCTCCTCTGGCCTCTCCAGTGTGCTGGGGGAGGTTAAACAAGATGTTTGGACCAGGTGGGGTGAGGAAATCACAGAGTAATTAGGATTAGAAGGACCTTAAAGCTCATCTTGTTGCACTCCCTCACATGGGCAAGGACATATTCCACTAGCCCAGGTTGCTCCAAGCCCCATCCAACCTGGTCTGGAACACTTCCAGTGATGGAGCATCCACTGGGCAACCTGTGCCAGTACCTCAGCACCTCACAGGGAAGAATTTCCTCCTGACATTTAATTCAAATCTCCCTTTAGTTTAAACCTAATCCCCCTTGTCCTATCACTGTCTGCCCATTTAAAAACTCACTCTCCCTCCTCGTTGTTAGCCCCATTTAGGCACTGGAAAGGACTCTAAGGTCTCCCTGGAGCTTTCCCATCTCCAGGCTGGACAACCCCAGCTCTCTCAGCCTGTGTGAAGACATATCCTGCTCCAACCCTTGGAATTTGAAGTCTGTGGGGTGGATGGGTGGGTTGTGGGGTGTCCACCCCTTATCCTGAGACACAGGGTCTGTCTCCCCAGATTGAGCTGGCCATCCTGCGCTTTTCCTACGAATCCTGTTTGGGGGACACCCTTCCAGCAGCTCAAGCAGGTGGTGGAGGAGCCGTCGCCGCAGCTCCCAGCGGAGAAGTTCTCAGCGGAGTTCGTCGATTTTACCTCGCAATGGTAAAACACTCTCTTGGTATCACTGGCTCTGCCAGGCTGGGGGGAGGCTGAGAAGGAAAGGTGTTCATGTCCCCACAGACAGCTCTCTGGAGTAATGCCCCTGATTTTTGGGCAGAACATCACCTCGGGGAAGGATGGACCTTGGTGCCCTTGCTGAGCCGTGAGGGCTGTGTGGGTGCCTGGCACTGTGCAGGCAGAGCACTGGTGATGATGGCTGTGAGGGTTTGCCTGCCTGAGGTGATGAGGAACAGGTTTGGGGGTCACATAGGAGGAAGGGCTTTAGGAGACTTCATCATTCCAGTTGCCCCCAGGTTAGCAGCACAAAGGTCCTGTGAGCGTGGGCAGGTGTGGGGTGGTGGCTCTGCCAGCCTCATCATGTCTCCAAGGCTGGAAAGAGGAGCAGGCACAGCAATCCCAGGCACACCTACAGGTTGGGTGGGGAGGTACTTGAGACCAGCAGTGAGGAGAAAGACTTGGGTGTGATGGTGAATGAGAAACTCCCCATGAGCCGCAGTGTGAGCTCACAGCCCAGAAACCAACCAAATCCTGGGCTGCATCAAAAGGAGTGTGGCAGCAGGTCAGGGGAGGTGATTCTCCCACTCTGCTTTTGTGAGACCCACCTGGAATACTGCAGTTCTGATGCCCTCAGTGTCAGAAGGACATGGAACTGTTGGAGCAAGTCCAGAGGAGGTCATGAAGTTGGTAAGAGGACTGGAGCATCTCTCCTGTGATGACAGTCTGAGAGTTGGGGCTGTTGAGCCTGGAGAAGAGAAGGTTGTGTGGAGACCTCAGAGCACCTTCCAGGAGCTGAAGGGGCTCCAGGGAAGCTGCAGAGGGACTCTGTGTTAGGAGCTGCAGTGATAGGGCAAGGGGCAATGGGTACAAATTGAAGGAGGGGAAATTTAGGCTAGATATTAGGAAGAGGTTTTCCCTGTGTGGGTGGTGAGACACTGGCCCAGGTTGCCCAGGGAGGCTGTGGCTGCCCCAACCCTGGCAGTGTTCAATGCTAGGATGGATAAAGCCTTGAACAACCTGCTGTGGTGGGAGGTGTCCTTGCCCAGGGCAGGGGGTTGAGACTAGATGATCTCCAACATCCATTCCAACCCTTAAAATTCTATGATGTGGGATATCTGCCTGCTCCTTCTCCCAGGGGACATGTCTCTGAGGGCAGTGTCCCCGCAGAGTTCACCGTCTGCCCTCGCTCCCGGGGCCCTGTGGCTGCTGTGCTGCTTTCCACGGGACGCAGAGCTGGAAGCAGCAGGAGAGTTTGGCTGTGGTGTAGGAAAAGGGCTGGAGCAGCCCGAGTGCTGTCTGGAGGCTGCGAGACTGCCCTGGTCACACGGTTCAGAGAGCTGGCAGCTCCTGCCTGCTGCTCCCTCCAGCTTCCCTGGAAACCGCCTGGGAGGCGCTTTCATTTTCCAGGCTCTGCAGTGCCATCCCCTGCTCGCCAAGTTGGCAGGTGGATGGTGGGTTTGTGTGCTGGCCAAGAGAGGACAGCAGATCCACACATGTAGAAATGTGAGACTGTTCCCGAGCTGCCAGCGGAGGGGACGCAGCTCTGCCCTGACCCAGGAAGGGATTATCAGCTGCTCCTGCCCGGGGACTCTCCGTCCTGACACTCAGATTCTTCAGAGTCTTGTTCAAACATGCTCTCCTGTCCTTGTGGTTCAGCCACACCTCCCTGCCAGCCCTCTCTGAGGAATACCTGCCATGTGCACACACTGCTCCGTGTCGGGGAGAGGTGGGAGCTGGCTTGGCAAACCTCACAGAGTGCCCACCGTTTTCCAAGGCCCATGCTGAGGGTTTGGACCAGCTGCCATTCTGCCATGCTGCTCGTTGTTGCCAGGCACTGTTTGTGCCAGGCAGGCTGTTCCTCACCAAGTGTTTTGCTCTCAAGCCTGGAGTCTTGCAGCTCTCACTGTCAGCTGGTTTAGGAGGTATATCCACAGCCACTTTTGGGAGGCATGTGGTCAGCCCTCTTTGCAAATCCTGTCCTCCAGGGTCACTGAAGATCAGGCAGTGCCAACATGTGGCATGGACTTGGAAAACACTGAGCTTTGGCTGAAGATTGCACCAGTTTTGTATTGTTGGAGTCCTGAGAATTTTTTCTGATGCTGAACCAGGTCATATCCACTCAGTGTGTCGAGCCTGGCTTAGGTCTATGTCTAGTCTGGAGCAGTGAAGTCTGATCACCTGCAGCCACTGCAGGAAGGTTTCTGGGATGTCTGAGTCAGGATCAGATCCCAATATGACTTTTCATTCCTGGGGATTTACACTGATTTCTGTAACTTGGCCCCAGATTTCCTGGTATTAGTAACCTGGGAATGAAGTTTTTATGTGTAGAGTGTCTAAATTCAGAGGATTGTACCAAATCTGGACCCACCTAACCTTCAAATTCACCGTGTCATCTTGACTTGGGCTGCTCTGGAGCTCAGAGGATGTGACACATCCCCTACCTTCAGTTCAGCAATCCTGGCACGTATCGGCCCTTGGTTCCTCTGTTCATTCACAACATGACACTAAACACGAGGCTGCTACACACAGCAAGCAGGAAATATCTATTCAGTGTGTGTCCTCTGCTTCCTCTGGGCTCCTGCAAATCCCAGCAGAGGAGAGACTTCTCCTCACCGAGGTTCTCACTTTTGTTTTGCTCAGTGTGACACCTTTTCCCCGCCACCGACGTGTACGTGTGTGAAGATCTTTTCAAGTTGCTCCAAGTGTCTTTCCCCTAAATACACTGTCAGGAAGTGAGCAGAGATTACGTCCTGTCTTTTAAAAGCTATTTTCTCCTGGAGGGAAACCAAAATAACTTCCAGCTACAACCCTCCAGAGCCATCTGTTGTAGGAGAGGAGAAAAAAAAAAAGGATGTCCCATGGAACCGTCCCTGCTGATAACAGCATGGTGATAAACAAATAGTGGTACACGTGCTTTGGGGCCACTTAGTCACTGCTCCCAATCACAGCTTGGAGGCTGATCCATTCCCAGAACACCCAAACCCCCAGTTGTGCCTGACCCCCAGCAACAAGCAGTGTCCTGACTGGTGTTTGTGATGTCTCCAGATTTCTTGCTTGACCCTGAGCTACAGCACCTCCCTGTACCCAGCCCTGTGTTCCATATGTTGTTGGCTGAGGTGTCCTCAAGGCTTAAGTTTCCTCAACATGGATGAGTAGTTGAACTTACTCTACAGAGACCACAACTGGATGAGCACACATCCAAAAAAGAACACTTTGGAAATATGGGAGTCTGGGGATGTCAAGACATACATTTTTCTGCACTTTGATAGCAGCATAGCAGAGCTGCAGAGAAGCAGTGAAGATAATTTAGCCATTTTGAGTTTAAGGGTTGTTCTGCAGAGTCAGAGAAAACACCTTTATAAATGTAAAATGCTGTTTGCATCATCTCCCTGCAGAAAGGCTATTGCCTTAATAATCTCTTGCCTTGCTAAACTTATTCCACAGGGACTTCAGACCTTGCTTTTGTCATGCTATAATTTTATGGCTTTGCTTAAACTGCATCAAAATGTAACTTTTCATTTTGTCTTCTTCTTTTTTTCCCCATTAAAGCTTGAAGAAGAATTCCAAAGAAAGGCCAACATACCCAGAGCTTATGGTGAGTGTGTCTGCATCAAGCAGGGTGTTGGTTCTGAGCTGAGGTGGGTTACAGTGAGATGCTGAGGGCAGAGATTCCAATACTGACAATGATTTGGGATGCTTAGCAGCTCTTTTTTCATGGCAGGTGTGAGAATCATGGCACTTCAGGGTCTTGGGAAGGTGACTGCAAGTCAGAGATGCTCTTTGAAATCTCATTCAGATGCTTTTCTAGTCACGTCAAGGGAGAGAAAATATGTAAAAGCAGTTAATAGATTTGCTAAGGGATGAAGAGTGAGACTGTGAAGAATCTGTGAGGTTAAAATCCTCCTCTTGGGTTGGTGTGATGAATTCAGACACCTCAGTGTGCCACAGATGCTCCACATGGGCTGCAGGAGCTGAGTGGCTGATGGGCTTTACTGCCAAGGTGCTTTGGAGAGGTTCTTTGGACAGAGTAATTTCTGGATGTTAGGGACAGAGGCAAATCTGTGACTGAATATCATCTGCTGCTTAGAGACTGTTTGCTGTGAGCTTGTCTAGGACAGGGGAATAATTAAGGAAGAAAATGCCCATAAAGGCTGGTGACAGGGAAGTGCAGGGCAGTGCAGGGCTTGGGGGTGCAGACACTGATGAGAACCATCTATGGGGAGATTTTTCTCTGAGAGCTCCACATCTTCATGGTCTTTCTCTCCTGACTTTCTGGTGTTGATCCTGATGCTCCTAAAAGCTGGAAAAAAAAGCAGGAGAGCTTGGGAAGTCAGTGTTTCACTCCTGTAGGCATCTGGTCCTTTCTTGACTCTCACCTGATTCACAGCTTTCTAAAGGCAGGAAGTTTGTTATTTCTGAAGATCCAAATGCTTGCCTGTCCCTACATTCTCACCCCTGTAAGGTGTCACTGGAAAGATCTGGTTTAAGGGTGGAAAATGCTGCAGGATTTCCTTAGGTGTTGGTGTCTCCTGCCCCATAACTCTGGGATGTGTTAGCCTCATCACCTCCTCACGCTCTCTGCTCGAAGCTGTGAAGGTGCCAGAGTTTAAGGTGCTCTCTAGCTGCAAGTCGTGCTGGAAATCCATGTACCTCTTGAACCTGAGTTGTAAGCAGTGAATAATTCCTGTGGCATTTCATGCTGAGCCCTGTAATGCAATTACACTATATATAGATCTGATTGACACACACACTTTGCCCAAATACTGGTCTCAGACAAAGGGAGGCCCAAGGTTTATGGCTATTTTTTAAAAACCTTTATTTATA